TATGGCAAGGACACAATTTTTTTTTCCCATTTATGCACTGAATACCTGGAGAGGACTCCATTCTCCAGCCTCTTGTGCACCTATCATGTTTTTAAATGCAGTTATGCCCTAAAGAGTTGGGGGTTTTATGTTTATTCATTTGTGATTTAGCACTTTTTTTGATACTAGCTCATTATTTAATTAGTGCAACAGTTTCAGAAGACAAACAAGTAAGGAGTTAAATTCTGGGCATTACACTGAAACAGTCCATATCTGAGGATAGATCAAATCAACCTAAGGATGGCTTGGCCCCAGTCAAAGTCCTGTATCCCCAAATGCCACCATCTTGAAGGTGCTGCATACTTAGTTTCTTTTGAATTACCAGAGTATTTAGTAGTAATTTTGGCTGTGAGTGAACTGATGTGTTTCCCCAGCACCGTTTCTCTTGAGGGAGAGATGTTAAACTGGATATGATTTTTAATTCTTGAGATGCAAAAATGTGGCGCAGCACACTTCTTATAATCTTGACAGGCATCGTAATGGTTGGGGATGTGGTACCCTGCTGCTTTATTAGAGTGATATGCCCTAATAATTTCTGTTTAACTCCATTTGCTGCTGTATTTCAGGATTTCATTTAGTCTCTCTAGCCTGTAAGACTGAGAGAGCAGTGAACCATAATCCCAAGGGCATAGACCTGTAAATGATTAGGAGGGGAAGTGGAGATTTTTTTTTAATTTGATGAATTTAGGAAATCTAACATTCCTTGTTATGCATATGTTGCAATTCATACTGGTGTAAGTGTAAATATTTGATGTGTTGGCAACAAGTCTTTTCGGAGAGATTGCAAATTGAACCTCTGCTTGGGAGGAGGGACACCTTTCTTTTTTTTTTTTTTTTGATGCATGAGCTTTTGAAGGTCGGCTTGGAGATGAAGTGGTGATGAAGACTCCAATCTTCAAGGGACTGGACTTACGTGGCCCTGGTGGTCCTTTCCAGTCCTGTGTATAAATCTTATGGTTGTCTTTAGTGATCCAACAGTTCTTTAGCCAGATACTCTTTTTCTCACTTCATAGACAAAGCAATTATTTTGGCAATGCATCTCCCCTTTTGTTTTGGTGGGTTTTTTTCAAGGTACTTGTGTGCTGGAGACTGATCCTGGACCATGCCTGTTACTGATTTCTAGTAATTTGATCACCTGTCCATTACTCAGTATTCTGGCTCTTCCTCCTTACAGGGTTTCATGGTATCTGGAGGAAAGTGCCCTAAATTTCTGGTGCTGAATATGACTCTGAATCAAAATGCATCTGCTTTATTACCTGCGTGTGAAAAGGTGGTACTACCCTAGGTTTTCTTCCCCTTTTCAAGAACAGATTGTATTTTAGAGACTTCCATTTGTATGTGGCATGAGTCCAGGCCAGGAACTCAAGATAGATTAACGAAGATGCATAGTTGCTTGTCTTTTTTATATATAGGAGGGGATTTTTTTTTCTTCCAAATGAAAGCTGCTTTATACTTTTTGTATTTACAAAAAATGCTAATCTTAGCTGTTCAGCTGTCTTTGAATTTGCTTTGGGCTTTTTCTTTTTAGAAGAAAAATTGAAGCAACTTGTGGGGTACATGCCCACTCCCCTTCTAGGGAGACAGACATGGCACCTTCCAGGATGTACCTCTAATGAAAAGTTTATACCTTCATAAGGCTGCTGTGAGACACAGACCAGATGCCAAATAGTACCTCCAGCTCTGTGTATAGCTGAAGTGGATTCAATTGCTTTAATGCTCCTTCCATCCCACTTCAGAAATTTCTAGCAGCAGAATTTTCCCTGGCTTTCTTGTGCTCACATCATTTCCGTGCAATCAGATCTTTATTTTAGAGCAAGCACAGTGTTTGCAATGCTGTACTGTTGCAAAAAAATCTCCCTTTTAGATCTCATATTAGCATTATTTGCTGCATTTTTCAAAAGGAAATAAATGTGCTGCTCTTCAAAAAGTAGATCTAGCGCAAACATTTTTCTTACCCTTGCAAGAAAAACCTGAGATTCCCTAACGGGGCAGAGAACAGTTGAGTTCAGTTTGCAATGTAGACATTTTTGCTAATTGTGATGTATGGCAGTGGGACTGATTTGTAATACAAATGTTATTTAATCTGTCTGTATTTTGATACTTGAATTTTCTTTTATTTCCTGTATATACAATTGTTAATCTGTTCAAATTTGTCTGAATTTTAAACATCTTGTGGTACCAAACATAACCAATCTGTGCAACAACATAGACTGACCTCACTACAACAAGGCGAGATTGTAAATATTCCTGGGCTTCCAGCAGTCGTTTTGTTGTTTTCATAATTGTACAACTTAGAACAGACTGAATTAATAAACAAAGTTAGACACATACTTGCTCTTTTGTCACTGTGACCCAAGCGTTATACAGAAGTCTCCTGTTCATCTACTTTAAAGCAATGCTGTTCTCATGCTCGTGTAACAGATGTGACCTGTGCCACTGAAACAGGTAAGAGAAGGTGGGGGATGGCAGCTTATTGATGCCTGATTAGTTCAGTCTAGCACTATACGCACGTTCCTCTGACTTGTCAATCCAAGGAACAAGAAAATAACGTCGAAGCCTTGTACAGAGATGACTTGCTGCTATTGAAGAAGCAAAGTAGAAAATGCTGATCTGCTGGGAGCAGTCTCAATTTAAATCTTTGGCAGCAGAGTAAGGGGTTTGTGTTGTCCCTAAGTATATTGCATGCAGTATGTTTAGTAAGAGCTGCTGAGTAGTGTCTTTGGTGGAAGCTGTTATTTTTGCAGTAAGTGATATTGACCCTAAATATTGAATACTATATTCTTTTGAGATGTTACAGTACAATTTATGCATTAAAATGCGTCCAAGTGTTCTGTTAAAGGCAGGTTTACCTATACCATGACAGTCTCCAACCGCTTTGTACATATTGTCCATGTGATAGTGAGAAAAAACTAACTTTTACCCCCAATAATTTACACATTCAAGGATTGTACTATTGAAGGTGAATTGTCAGGAGCCTAATTTACTAATGATAATCACTAAAGCCACTTTTTTGCAGTATGGCAGCAACTAAATCATGTAACAACTGTAATAGTTTGGGCAGACATTGTATAGTATTTACGCAGCAGAGATTTTTGGCATACCGAAAGGTGGGATGTGTTCCTTAGGTAAAGTTAGACCAGGAAAACCAGATATTTAAATATAGGTTAAAGTTTAGATTTTTGTGTCAAGTAAAATCTGGCTGAGGTAAAATACTAAATACATGAGAGATTGCTAGATTTATACTGTATGTGCCATTTCTAATAATTTAGTAAGCCTGGTTTTTAAGCTAATGTTGAAATATATCGAGTAGTTTTAATGGTCTTAAATACCATGTGGCTTTATCAAATCCAAACAGTGTCCCTGGGCTGTGACTGACATGTTTCAGCAAAGTAGGCTAAAGGCCCACAGTAGAATTAACACCTTGGATTTAAAAAATAGAAAAAAAAAACTGCCTAAGCTGCAGTGCAGTTTTATGAACTTAATATCCCCTTGCCTTCCCCACCAGTGAGATGAGCAGCGTCAAACAGCAGAAAGTTGAGGGGCAAAAAAGCCACCGTCTTTTTGCAATTGAAAGGTTTGTTCAGAAACATAAGTGCCAACTGACAATGCCAAGAGTCACTTCCTAGTAGCTCTGCTGGCCCAGCTGAGTTTACTTCCAGTTGATTTTTACAAGCTAAAGCATGATTTGAGAAACTGCTGGAGAATCTGTGCCACTCCTGCCTTCCTATGTGGTATGTAGTGAAGATCAGAAAGGGTCTGTTCCTGCATCTGGCTCCAGTTCTGGCTCTGGGAGAAGCACTTTCTTGAGATTTTCTGAGTAGTAAGGTCCAAACACCTGCCTGTTGTGGTTGATCACACTTCCAAACCTGTGCCCAACTTCCAGCAGCTCTTCTTGAATGGCATCAAGGCCTTTGGGAGATCCTTGAGAGAATTCTGTCCGTTAGGGGAAATGAAAAGGCTGAGGAATAAATGAATCCCCTGTTCTGTAGGGAGTAAGAGCACGAAAACAAAAAAAACAACCTTGGCATAGAAAGCTAGCTTTGAGACAAAGGGGTCCTCATGCAGTCAAGAGCAGATGTGTGGACAACCTCATTGTCACAGGATGTTGTAGACAGTAACACTACGTGGGCTCAGGGACATATTGGAAGTATTTGGAAGTTTCTTTTCCAAATACTAAGTAGATTTAACAGCATCCAGCACAGGAACCAAGGTGAAACTACCTGATGCTAAGAGAGTACTTGAGTGAAGTATCATGTATGCTTGCCTTGTTCTCAGTTTGCCCAGGGTAGTTGCTTATAACAATAGCTAGAGATTGGACAGTGGGCTGAAGGACTGCAGGTTTGATGGATGTATGGCCGTTCTTATGTTAAAGTTTACAGTTTAAACTTTATGTTAAGGTTTACAGTTACAGTTTAACCGTATGGATTCTTCACCAATTCTGAAGAGTTTTTGTACTGCATTGAAGCATCCGGCATCTTAGAAGCATAATGGAATATGGAATTTCAGAGCCTAGGATTTATTTAGCCTGCCACAGCAGCATTTTACAATTGAAAGTGTTCAGGAAGCCTTTCTGAGGAACATGTAGCTGAAATACAGCAACATTTAAAGCAGCTGGGTAGTTGAATCTGAAGTCTGTGTGTGAGAATGCTGATGGTCTTCCCCCCTTTGCATCTAAGAATCGCACAGTGCCTTGTCTGTGCTGTTGATTACTAGTCCCACAACTTTTCTCTAATGCCAAACCATCAGAGAGTCATTGCCATCACATACTGCCCAGCCTGCCATATATCAGGGCTTGGTTTAGGCTGTTAATTTAGCCTTATTCTGAGTTACTTCAAAACAAAATAGCCTACTCTGACATGGAAAGAATAAAATCGAATAAACAATGCAGTTGAGTCCACACCGGCTGGGAAGGACACTTAACTAAATGAAGCATGAGGCAGGAAGAGCCTCACCCTATTTTCATAGCTGATAAAAGCAAGTCTTCCATGTGGAAATAATCTTTCCAGTAGCATACTAGTTGCCTGTGGCACAGCAATCTACATGGAGTTAGTGTTCAGAGTACCAATAAAAAGGTCAAAATAATCAGCTCTTATCCAAACCGTTTGAATAAATATTTTGATGGAGCAGCATTGTAGGGCAGCTGGTTAGCTGAATACCGGGTAGTATACTCCCTAGGGAGAAATACTATTTAAAGTTCTTAGCACGGTACTTTACTAGACCCAATGATTAATCTCTCAGTCTACATCCTAGCCTGAAGATTGCAGCACTGCTTAATAACAGGCCTTGCACTTGGGCCTGTTTAGCTTTTAGCGAGGATGGGAGGATTTAAGAGATTTTTTTCAAAGCAATTACTGTTTGGGAGCCTTTGGAGGTGAATAGGAAAATCTGGGCAGTTTCTGAACCTAGCTTCATTGCCCTCCTCTCCTGTGCATACTGTGTAGAGGGACTGAACTCAGCTCTCACCCTCAGCAGTAGTTCTGCTCAACGCAGGGAGTCTGCTATGCTAGTACCTATCCTAGACCTGTCCTGCATACTACAGGGTCATTAGGCTAAACCTAAGTAATGCCCTGAGGGTGCAAATACTCGGTTCCTTCAAGGCAAAGCCAGCTGAGTTAGACATAGGCTCAGAGACTCACCGATGACACTCTGCACTGCATTGTCTGCGATGCTTCTTATCTGGCCTTTCAGGGAAGCACATTTGTCATTGGTAAAAGCAGGATAACCCAGCTGTGAAAGAGTCCTGCCACTTTCCTGGAGCACTTGATTGCCTATATCTTGTAAAGATTCTTCATACCTAAGTCATGCAAAGGTATACGTGCTCTGGCCACTGCTCAGATTTGTTGAGGAAAGGGTCTTGCAGGCATAGAGCAAGAAGGGAAGGCCCTCTATATGTCTTTTGAGGGAAGTGTCATCACAGCCAGGTAGCATAGGACAATCAGTGTTCAGCCACAGCTCTTGTGCCTACTGCAAGTGAACTAAGCTTCCCTTCCCCTGAAGTTACCCAGGGGCTGACTCCTGTGAAATAGTAATCAGCACCACTAATTTCCCCTTTAACCAAGAAGTCACTGTTGCTAGAATGTTAGCTCCTAGCTAAAAAATGCTGGCTGACTTCCCCTACTCCTTGCAGTAGACCTGGCTGCTATTTGGATCTTGGATCCCCTTCTACTCCCAGGGAAGGATTTCTG